GTTTACCTGTCCAAACGGATTCTCCCTTACGAACCATCAAGGTCTTTAAGATCTTCTGGGGGTGGGCTGCTCTCGATCCCACCACTGTCACAATCGCGGTTGGTGGGAACGAGAGACAGGGCCTTCTCGATGGTGGCTCCCTGGCTTTGGAACTCCCTCCCACAGGAGATTAGAACTGCCCCCTCCCTCCTGACGTTCAGGAAGCTAACAAAGACTTGGCTATGGAATGCGGCCTTTGACAACTGAGTCAACTCTGGTCCACATGGAAGGAGAATGAATAACTGAGAATTATGACCAGGAATGCTTTGACGACGTGGCTATGTGATTGTGATGATGACGATGTTGTAATGTAATATGTTTTTAATTGTGTAATGATGATGCATTGTGTGGTTTGTATTTTTGTATATGAACACATGTTGTGAACCGGATCTGAGTCCCTCTTGTAGGTGAGAAGATCGGTATAGAAAACTTTTAAATAAATAAATAAACATGCCCAGCTCTTTAAGCCGCTCCTCATAGGGCTTGTTCTCCAGACCCTTGATCATTTTAGTTACCCTCTTTGATTGACACATTCCAGCTTTCTTCAATTGTGGTGCCCAGAACTGGACACAATATTCCATGTGTGTCATCCTTGATTATACCCTAGCCACCCCTACCTAGTGCTTCCTATCATCCCTAACCAGTGATGGACACCATAGTCCAAAACATCCATCGGGCCTTAGAGTGGCTGGTCAGCAGCAAAGCCAGAAACTGAAGCCTCTCCTGTGCAGCCTCTTTCCATCCCTCCCTCTCTCTTTCTCTCCCCCACCCTCCTCCCAGAGTTCTGGTTCCCTTCTATTTAAGATTTATGGGTAGCTTCTTATCATCTATGAGCAGCCCACGTTCCACCTGGAGAGAGCATAGAGAGTTCCCATCCATCATGGGGTGGGGGAACTGTCACAGCGGGAGCTGGGTGAACCGGGGAAGGGGCCTCTCCCAGACGCTGCCTGGCCTTAAAAGGGGTTTCGTGCACGTTCCCTCCTCCCCTTCCCCTCCCTGTTTGTTCTGCCAGAGCCAACGCAGCCATCTTTTCTCTGGCCCCGGCCAGGAGCGGCCAAAGCCATGGTCTCTTGGGAGATCAATCTCCAAGAGGAGAAAGGGACACTTCCAGCTCAGGCCGTCCATTTAGCCTCGGCTCTTGGCTTGCTTCGAAGCGAAGGCTGCTCTCGCCCTAACTTCCTTTCTGCCTGTTTTTTGTAAACATACAGAATGTCTTAGCTATAGGACAGGGAGACAAAAATGAAGATATGACCTCCCTTGCTATAAAAAAAATCCATCCCTGAATAAAATTTCCCTCCCGTTCTCATTCACACATTGTTGTTGTGTCTTCAAGCCTTTGATGACATATATATTTCAACTGCTGGAAATTTAGTTTAATTCTGTAGGTTGAGTGAAGAGGAAGGCCTCTTCTACACTGCCATATTATCCAGATTAGATCAAATCAGATAATCTTATTTAATACTAGCCGTCCCCTGCCACGCGTTGCTGTGGCCCAGTCTGGTGATCTGGAAAATAAAGTATTGAGAAAGTGTTGGTTTCTAATATATGTAAATTTTTTATGCTTGTGGGTAAACAGTGTTTCTTGTTGTTTCTTTGTCAGTGTTGATGTGGAGATTGTCTGGTTTGCCTACTCTGGAACATGCAACATATAATTGCCCTTCTTTAGGGGTCCCTTTCAAATCCATGATACTATATCTCTGTGTGTGTGTGAATCATATGTATCTATATCTATGGCTGGATGGCTCTTTGTCAGGAGGGCTTTGATTATATTTTCTTGCCCTGATGAAGGGAGTTGGACTGGATGGCCTTAAGTATTTTCTGTTAGTCATGGGGGTTCATTGTGGGAAGTTTGCCCCAATTCTATCATTGGTGAGGTTCAGAATGCTCTTTGATTGTAGATGAACTATAAATCTCACTAACTACAACTCCCAAATGTCAAGGTCTATTTTCCCCAAACTCCATTTGTGATCATATTTGGGCATATGGAATATTCATGCCAAGTTTGGTCCAGATCCATCATTATTTGAGTCCACAGTGCTCTCTGGATGTAGGTGAACTACAACTCCCAAACTCAAGGTCAATGCCCACCAAACCCTTCTAGTGTTTCTGTTGGTTCACTTGTGGGATTAACAGAACTCAAAAACCAGTGGGCCAATAGACACCAAATTTGGACAGCATACACCTAACAACCCGATGTATGTCCTTCACTCAAAAAAAATTGATTTTGTCATTTGGGAGTTGTGGTTGCTGGGATTTATAGTTCACCTACAATCAAAGAGCATTCTGAATTCCACCAATGATGGAATTGAACCAAATGTGGCGTTGACCTTGACTTTGCAAGTTGTAGTTCACTTACATCCAGAGAGCACTGTGGACTCAAACAATCATAGATCTGGACCAAACTTGGCACAAATATTCAATATACCCAAATGTGAACACTGGTGAAGTGTGGGGAAAATAGATCTTGACATTTGGGAGTTGCAGTTGCTGGGATTTATAGTTCACCTGCAATCAAAATGATAGAATTGGGCCAAACTTCCCACACAGAAGCCCCATGACCAACAGAAAATACTGTGCTTTCTGATGGTCTTTGGCGACCCCTTGGTCAACCCCTCGTGACCCCTCCAGGGGTCCCGACCCCCAGGTTGAGAAATGCTGCTACATGGCAACTCCCATCAACTCTAGTCATGATATCTAATGATGAATATAGAAATTGGAGTCCAACTTCTGGAGGGCCAGATTTACCCTACGGACCCTCAATTTGATGCATGTGACTTAGGCTCTCAAAGGGGTTGACCTGTGAAGGTCAAGTTGATGTGCATGCAGGACGGAGTTGGCACCGCCAGAGGAAACAGACCTGCTCTCCTCCCTGTGTTTAAGCCATAAAACATTCCCTCCTCTCCTTTCCTTGCTGGGCACCCAGCCAGGGTCTGCATTTAGCTGTAAAACGTGGTAAAGAGTGCCAGGGGAGCGGCCTGCTCCCCACCCTCTCCAGAAGAGTCATCAAAAGTTCTCAGAACATTGTCCCCATTTCAGTACAACGAGGCCCACGCAAGTGATGGCAACACGCAATGCCCTTGCTGGGTTGTGCCCTTGGAAAATGGCACTTCTCTGTTCTTGCAAAGTTTGGAAAACACACCTTTTTGATATAACTTATCTCTATCCTTTCCCTTGGACAAGAACAACTGAGATTACAACTCTCAGACTCTTCCAGCAAACATAGCTAATGGGCAGACTGGATTTTTGGAAATTATAGTCCAAAAAAAGAAAGAAAAACACACCCACCTCTGTGGTCTTGCACATAGTTGGCATATTTCAGGAAGCTGATCCTAATCGGAACTTGGAAATATTGTATCTTGGGCCAACAAATCCCATGCAAGCACTGGAATCCTGGGAGCAAAAGAGGAATGTTTCCAAGGTCTTCTACATCGTTAGGACAAAGGACCACAGGAGGGAATAGCATCCTGGTCTGAAAGCTGTTTATAGCTTCCTAGATGTTCTACAGCAAGTCTTGAGTCTTGAAGTACTTCCTTGAAGACTCTGGCCCCTTCTACATTGCCATATAAAATCCAGATTATCTGCTTTGAACTGGATTATATAGCAGTGTAGACTCACTACACTGGAAGAGTTTGGTGGGCATTGGCCTTGAGTTCTTGAGTTGTAGTTTGCCTACATCCAGAGATCATTGTGGACTCAAACAATGATGCACCAAAATTGGCACAGATACTCAGGGTTTGGTGGGCATTGACCTTGAGTTTTGGAGTTGTAGTTCACCTACATCCAGAGAGCACTGTGGACTCAAACAATGATGAACCAAAATTGGCACTGATACTCAATATGACCAAATGTGAACACTGGTGGAGTTTGGGGAAAATAGATCTTGACATTTGGRAGTTGTAATTGCTGGGATTTATAGTTCACCTGCAATCAAAGAGCATTCTGAACCCTGCCWATGATAGAATTGGGCCAAAGTTCCCACACACGAACCCCCATGACCAGCAGAAAATACTGTGTTTTCTGGTGRTCTTTGGTGACCCATCTGAAACCCCCCTCACGACCCTCCAGGGGTCCCGGCCCACAGGTGGAGAAATGCTGTTCTAGATAGAAAAGGTCTTTAAGCTAACTAGCTTACTAAATCTCATCTTCTAAAGAAAGATAAAAGGTAAAAAGTAAAAAAGAAATCCATGCAGCTACATTTTGCCTAAAGAGAGGTGCAAAATGCATCCTCACTGGAAGAAAAAAGCAGAAGAGAACAAAGTTGGAGACCACATGGTCAACCCAGGGTAATGAAACTTAAAGAGGAAGTTCCCTTACAGAATTCCATTCCTTTATCATTGAAGGGGGGAGGGGGAGGAGACAGTGGCAAGCAGGAGGAGGAAATACAAAGTTGTTTTGGGAAACACGCATGGTAAAGTGGGGGAAAGGAATCCCTCAGCTTAATCTTACCTCTAGTCTAGCTACTCATTGAGGTCTGGAAACTTGATGACACAAGTGACTTGTGCAGTCCAGGGATGAAACTCAACACTTCTTTCCTTCTTTCCTTCTTTCCTTCTTTCTCTTTCCTTCCTTCCTTCCTTCCTTCCTTCCTTCCTTCCTTCCTTCCTTCCTTCCCTTTCTTCCTTCCTTCCTTTTATTATTTCTTTCTTTCTGCAGGAAATAGCAGTGAAGCCAACTCTCCTCCTCCTCTTCCTCTTTCTCCTTCTCCTTCCTGTCATGTTTCTTCAAGTCATTTCTTTCATTTCTCTGACTTACCGTGACCCCAAGATGAACCTATCACAGAGTTTTCGTGGCAAGATTTGTTCAAGCTGGGTTTGTCTTTGCCCTCCTCTGTGGCTAAGAGAGTGTGACTCATCCAAGATCATCCGATGGGTTTCCATGGTGGAGTGGGGAGTCAAACCTTGGGCTTCGGAGTCTTAGTGCAACACTCAAACCACTCTCTTAATTTCTCCTTTTTTGTTCAGCTATTCAAGCATGCTCAGTATGGGATCCTGGAGGCAGCAGCTGTTGACCTTACCTGTTGCAGGTAGACGCATACAGACATAGCAGGATCAGCTAAAGCAGCATCCCATTCTTTCCCAGTTCAAGCTTGATTGCTTTATTTTGTTGCTAACTGCTTTCAATGTTGACTTCTGCTTATAGTGACAGCATGAATGAGAGACCTCCACGTCAAGCCATCCTTGCAGATTCAGGGGCTCCTTCTATACCAGATAATCCAGATTATTAAATCGGATCATCCACATTTTCTGCTTTGAAGCAGATTTTATGAGTCTACACTGGCTTTCCTCTTTGTCAGGTCAACTCCCCCCAAAAACAGTGCCAGGAAAGATGACTTGGCCACGGTTGTCCATGCTTTGGTTATATCCTGAATAGACTACTGCAACACACTGTACGTGGGGTTGCCTCTGAAGAGTGCTCGGAAGCTTCAGCTAGTCCAATGCTCAGCGGCCAGGTTGCTCATGGGAGTAGGGTAAAGAGAGCGTACAACTCCCTTGCTACGCCATCTCCATTGACGGCCTATTAGCTTTCAAGCTCGATTCAAAGTGCTGGTGTTAACTAATAAAACCCTAAACGGTTCTGGCCCAGTTTACCTGTTCAAACATATCTCCCTCTATGAACCATCTAGGACCTTAATATCATCCAGGGAGGCCCTGCTCTCGGTCCCACGGCCATCGCAGTCGCACTTGGGAGTGATCCTGGACTCACCGCTGAGCCTGGAATCCCAGGTCTCGGCAGTGGCAGGGAGAGCTTTTGCGCAATTAAAACTTGTGCACCAGTTGCGCCCGTACCTTGGGAAGTCTGATCTGGCCACGGTGGTCCACGCTCTTGTTACATCCCGAATAGACTACTGCAACGCGCTCTACATGGGGTTGCCCTTGAAGACTGTTCGGAAACTTCAACTAGTCCAACGAGCGGCAGCCAGACTGCTCACCGGAGCGACATACAGGGAGCATACCACCCCCCTGTTGTGCCAGCTCCACTGGCTGCCGGTTCAGTTCCGAGCACAATTCAAGGTGCTGGTTTTGACCTACAAAACCCTGTACGGTTCTGGTCCAGTGTATCTGTCCGAACGTATCTCCCTCTACATCCCACCCCGGAGTCTGAGATCATCTGGGGAGGCCCTGCTCTCGACCCCACCACTGTCACAAGTGAGGCTGGTGGGGACGAGGAGCAGGGCTTTCTCAGTGGTGGCCCCTCACCTGTGGAACTCACTCCCGGGAAATCAGGGCATCATCATCCCTCCTCTCCTTCAGGAGGAGGGTGAAGACATGGTTATGGGACCAGGCCTTTGGGCAATCTGGCAATTAAATAAGACAACCAGGAGAGTAAGACCAACAAGACTGTTGAAGTGGAACTGAAAACTAGAACTATGAGTTAGCGAACGCTGACCATGTAAGAGGAGGAATTAGGTTTGTATTGGGTTTGTATTGGTTTTATTGATTTTATTGAGTATAATGCATGAACTGTTGTTGAATTGATGTAATTCTGTGTTTTGATTGTTCTGTACTGCAGGCATCAAATTGTGCCTTTGCTCCTGTAAGCCGCCCTGAGTCCCCTTCGGGGTGAGAAGGGCGGGGTAAAAGAACCCCTAATAAATAATAAATAAATAAATTTGGTGGGGATGAGAGACAGGGCATTCTCCGTGGAGGCCCCTCAGCTGTGAAACTCCCTCCCTAATGAGGTTAGATCCCCTCCATCCCCTCCTTTCTGACCTTCCGGAAGAAACTTAAATCCTGGTTATGGGATCAAGCATTCACAAAATAGTTGTTTTACTGGGAAGACAAGATTTTATTGGACTGTACTTGGACTGTTTTGGACGACGATTTTAATATGGCAGCTTTAATCTGGTGAACTAGTTCTACTGTGTGTGTGTGTATATATATATATATATATATATATATACACACACACACACATACTATTTTAATGTATGTGGATGCATTTATTATGTGTTTTATATCATGCTTGGCATTGAATTGTTGACTGTTGGGAAGCCATTCTGAGTCCCTCCTCGGAGGTCGAGAAGGACGAGGTATAAATACCTGAAATAAATAAATGCCTGAGAAGTGCACAAAGACCCATTTACTATTCCTTAAGTTCATGGGCTGCCTGGGAGTGGAGTCTCCTTCTCTAGAGGTTTTGAAGCTAAGGCTGGATGGCTATCTATCAACTCTGCTGGACTGGCCACATTGTCCGAACACTGTCTCCCAAAGCAGTTACTCTGCGGAAAATGTAGTGTTGGCGGACAGGAAAAGAGATTTCAAGATGGGCTTAAAGCCGACCTTCAAAACTGTGGCATAGACACTGAGAACTGGGAAGCCCTGGCCCTTGAGTGCTCTAACTGGAGGTCAGTTGTGACCAGCAGTGCTGCAGAATTTGAAGCAGCACAAATGGAGGCAGCAGAGATGGACAGAGGCCTCTTTTTCACTGCCATATAATCCAGATTATCAAACCAGATAATCTGTATGATTTGCTTTGAATAGCATTATATGTATGAGTCTACACTGTTCAAAGGAAAGGGCCTGAGGTCAGGAATTGTAGGAATTGAAGTCCAAAACAATGCCCATGCCGACTCTAAAATATATTTCCCTGCTTGTGCATGTCCTAGTTGTTTCATTTCACTGGTGCGTTAGGAACAAAAAAGTTGAAATGCTTTTCTGGTTTTTTTCCCCCTACAGCATTCTTTCTCCTGGTGGAAAGTAATACGAAGCATCCCTGTATTTGCAAAGCATGTGCTTTTTTACCACCGAGCGACGTTGGTTCCTTTGCATCCTTTGCATGTTCTTGAAGGCATTTTGCTGTTAGGATCTTTATAGAGCACCGTACACTCTCTGCTTCGCCTTCCTCCGCCGCTGCCCCAAGGGCTTGCACTCAGCGCATGCCTAGGGGTACTCAGCTCGAGATGCTGGAGTTTCTGAACACCAAAGCCTTGGAGGGCCTGAGCTGGGAGCAGGATTGTTCCTCTTGTAAAGCCGGCACTGACGCAAATTCACACCGCGAGGGGATTTGTATTATTATTATTATTATTTCTTTTAAAATTATTTCAAATGAGGAGGGGGCCTTGTTCGATTCCAGAACCTGACAGCAAAAGGAGGAGGGACCCATTAAGGAATTAGCACTCAAAAGCTGTCAAAGTGTCCCCCCCCCCCCCCCCCTTTCTCTTAATGAGACAGCTCAATTAACCGCCTGGAGTAAGCCAGGCATGAAATACAGGGGGGCCGCCCCCCACCCACCCACCCTTCCCATGTCTCTGCTGACGGCTTAATTGCCCCCTCCTCTTTTCCCAGACATCCTCTGTCATTTGCACAAGCCCCTCATTATGGTCGGGTTGGTGCATCCTGAAAAGCTCTTCCACACAATTCCATGTTCCATGCACACACACACATACACACATGCAGCAATTTCTGATCTTCTCCACCTCCCATTCTGTTTTGCTTCTCATAGAACCCTAGACTTAGAAGGGACCTCAAGGGCCATCCAGTCAAACTCCTTATGCAGGATGACACAATCAAAGCCCTCCCAACAGATGGCCATCCTTACTTACTTAGGCAATCCCTCATAGCCTGAGGATGATGGACCTCCAAGTGTAGTGTTGTGGTGGCTGTGAAGCCCTATTCTTGATCCGCGTGTTCTCCTGCAGTGAGGACAGAGTATCCAGACAGAAAGCAGTCCTGGTCAGGGTTGGATTGATGCAACTTCCTCTTGGCATGTTTCCCCCTTTTGCCCTCCATTTGTGCCTCTTTGAATTCTGCAGCACTGCTGGTCACAGCTGACCTCTAGTTAGAGTGCTTAAGGGTCAGAGTTTCCCAGTTCTTGTTGCTGTGGAGCCCTATTCTTGACCCACATGTTATCCCGCAGTGAGGACATTGGTTTTCAGGCAGAAGGCAGTCCCGGTCAGGGTTGGCTTGATGCGACTTCCTCTTGGCACGTTTCCCCCTTTTGCCCTCCATTTGTGCCTATTCAAATTCTGCAGCACTGCTGGTCACAGCTGACCTCCATTTAGAGTGCTTAAGGGCCAGGGTTTCCCAGTTCTTGGTGCTGTGGAGCCCTATTCTTGAGGGCTCCACATGTTACCCCGCAGTGAGGACATTGGTTTTCATACAGAAAGCAGTCCTGGTCAGGGTTAGATTGATGCAACGTTTCCCCCTTTTGCCCTCCATTTGTGCCTATTCGAATTCTGCAGCACTGCTGGAGAATTCTTGACCCACATGTTCCCCCGCAGTGAGGACATTGGTTTTCATACAGAAAGCAGTCCTGGTCAGGGTTGGATTGATGCAACGTTTCCCCCTTTTCCCCTCCATTTGTGCCTATTCGAATTCTGCAGCACTGCTGGTCACAGCTGGAGTTTCTGAACAGTTTCTGAACATCAAAGCCTCTTCAGGCTTGTGATCCCACCACTTTTTTGTTACAGGCAGATGGTATTTATGGTACAAGTTCTAACTAATCATCTGAGCAATGGTGTTGTGCCTCTGCTTGTAGTCTGTTTGCGCAATCTTCTTGCAGCAGCTGAGGATGTGATCTATTGTTTCATCTGCTTCCTTGCAGAGTCTACATTTGGGATCTGTTGTCGACTTTTCAATTCTAGCTTTGATGGCATTTGTTCTAATGGCTTGTTCTTGGGCTTCCAAAATCAGGCCCTCCTTTGTCTCCTTTTTCAGAGTTCCATTTGTGAGCCACAGCCATGTTTTTTCTGGCTTTCAATATTTCATGTCCATGGAGAGCCTTCTTTTGCCAGTTTTCCCTTCTGCTCTGGATTGTGTTTTTATGGTATTCCCTCTTTGTCTTTTGCACTTGAAGTTGCATTATTATTATTATTATTATTATTATTATTATTGTTCTGCGAAGGTGTTTAAAGTGGCTTGATGGTCTTCTTCTGAATGCGCACAGACGACATTGTCATCAGCGTGTTTAACTTTTTGTCCACGAGGACTCCAAGATATTTCTCACAGAGTATAGACAGATGGAAGAATGAGTCAAATGGGATCAAAACATGATTAAGCTTGTGGTTAACATCCTGGGGTCTTC